CACCCTGTGAAAGAGTATTATGAGCTCATTTTATAAGAGAAAATTAAACTTCAGCGATATTAAGTGACATATTCACTCAGCTAGTAAGTGGCAGAGCCAAGATTTAAGTTTAGTCTCATTCCAAATCTCTTTCATAATATACTCCCTGTTCAGGGAATAATGCTTTTCTTCCAAATGTGCAAGACGGTCCTACTATGTAAGAAGTTTTTTATACAATAAATCTCACCACCATAGTGAGTTTCACTCATTATTTCCCACAGCTCCAAAATATCATTTTAAAGCAACTATATATAAAGTACAGAAAAAGACAAGAAACCTAACTCACAGACTGAGCCAAAGCATACATACACATTATAATCCCAACTATAGTATTTTGGATGTACCCAAATACCCAAGTTCTTTCTTTGCTTATCTCTGCCTTTTCTTAGGTCTTTATCTCTTCTCTTCCTCTTCCTTCTCAACCCCTTAACTTCACAAACTACTGGTATGACTGACTGCAGGGGCAGATACCAAGATTGCATGGCATGAGTTCCATCTTTCTTTTCCACATCTAAGAGGAGAAAATAAAAGGCACTCTCTCTCTCTTTTCTTAAAGCAGTAAAATTACTTTATTAAATCTCAACCCTTGAGTACATATCTTTTTTTTTTTCTTTTCCACTATGGTTTATTACAGGATATTGAATATAGTTCCCTGTGATATACAGTAGGACCTTGTTGTTTATCTATTTTATGTAACAGTAGTTTGTATCTGCTACTCCCAAACTCCCAATTTATCCCTCCCCCACTCCCTTTCCCCTTTGGTAACCATAAGTTTGTTTTCTATGTTTGTGAGTCTACTTCTGTTTTGTAAATAAGTTCATTTGTATCATATTTTAGAGTCTACATATAAGTGATATCATATGTTATCTGTCTTTCTCTTTCTGGCTTACTTCACTTAGTGTGATAATCTCTAGGTCATCCATGTTGAAATGGCATTATTTCATTCTTTTTTATGGCTGAGTAGTATTTCACTGTATACATATACCACATCTTCTTTATCCATTTATCTGTCTATGGGCATTTAGATTGCTTCCATGTCTTGGCTATTGTAAATAGAGTTGCTATGAACATTTGGGTGCATATATCTTTTTGAATTAGAGTTTTCTCCAGATATATGCCCAGGAGTGGGATTGCTGGATCGTATGGCAACTCCATTTTTAGTTTTTTAAGGAACCTCCATTCTGTTTTCCATAGTAGCTACACCAATTTACATTCCCACCAATAGTGTAGGAGAGTTTCTTTTTCTCCACACCCTCTCTGTCACTTGTTATTTGTAGACTTTTTAATGATGGCCATTCTGACCGGTGTGAGGTGATACCTCACTAAAGTTTTGATTTGCATTTCTCTAATAATTAGCAATGTTGAGCATCTTTTCATGTGTCTATTAGCCATCTGTATGTCTTCTTTGGAGAAATGTCTATTTAGGTCTTCTGCCAATTTCTTGATTGGGTTGTTTGCTTTTCTGTTATTGAGTTGTATGCACTGAGTGTATATTTTGGAAATGAAGCCTTGTATCGCATGCAAATATTTTCTCCCATTCCATACATTGTTTTTTCATTTTGTTTATGGTTTCCTTTGTTGTGCAAAAGTTTGTAAGTTTGATTAGGTCCCATTTGTTTAGTTTTGCTTTTATGTCTACTGACTTGGGAAACTGACCTAAGAAAACATTGCTATGATTTATGTCAGAGAATGTTATGCCTATGTTCTCTTCTAGGAGTTTTATGGTGTCATGTCGTATATTTAAGTCTTTAAAAAGGTACTCTCTTAATATCCCCCAACGTATAGAAAGCAAACCAAAGGCAAAATATATTTCTCTAATCTTATTATTTAACTTTATCCTAAAAATGTTTATTGGCCAAGAGGCAAGGAGACTAAGTACCAATATGCCAGTGTAAGTACTTTATCCATTTTAATTCATATTGTAACAGCATACTTTGCTAAAATAAAACTGACACAATTAAACGTGTAAGTCCAAAGCACATGATTAATTTGCTCAGACACAAAGATATCTAAATGTGTACACTTGTGTTTTCTGAATCTCACGTTTCATAACAAGGAATACTAAAATCCGTTCCTTAATTATTTTAAGTTGTAAGATTTAAAAAGAAATAAGTTGCAATTTATTTTTACCTTGTGAAAGACCAGTGGAACGTAAGCTCTAACTATAGTTAAATCCTGCCAGAATGAAGAAACTGGGATTAAAAAAGATTCAGCCACACAAAACACAGGGTTGGATTATTGTGAGGTTAATACAATGATAAAGGTGAGTCTATACTACATACAGCTGGCTAGAAGTCCTGTGCAATTCAAATGTCTTTAGGCCTGGGATGCAGTTTGGCACCACCTGGTGGCAACCATCCACCCTAGCTTCAATATCCATGGGGTCATTCTGGATCTGGTGGCTGACTGGGGTTTCTAGGGCAGTAGCCCCAGTCCCAGGAATTCCCTGACTAGGTGGTATCCACTTTGACGTGGCTATGGAGTCAGAACAACACAGGGGAAAAGGAAACCTGTCTTCAGCTTCCCTGCTTCCAGAAATGGTTCTGTCGACTGTTTCTCAACCTACCTCTACCAATCATCTTAGAGAACAGGCGCTAGTTTACATCAATTTATGTTACCAGGGGATGCATTTTAAAGGAGTCTTTAAAAAGTAAAACAACAACGGCAACAACAAAAACTAAAAAATCAGTGCATTCTCAAAATGATTACATACCAAGGTTTATGTGGTTATGTGAATTGTTTGGAAGTAATCACACGTTACCACAGAAACAATCCCATGAATTTTAAGGTTATTAAGTTGGCCAATAAAAGCCTTTATTATAAAATCCATAACAGAATTGAGCCACAGGACTATAAGTACTTATTTGTAAAACAAAATAGTAGTATCACCTATGCCACAGGTCTAGCTCACATCTAGATCTTTCTCCTGAGATTCAGACCTTATATAATCAACTTCTACTTGCATATGTCACACAGACTTAATGAAACTAAACTAAATTTGTCATGTTTCCCAATTAAAGCCGTGTCTTTTTCTAATGCTTTAAAAACTGCATCACTATCCCCGCAGCTGCCCAATCAAGAACCTGGTGACATCTGTAACTTCTCACTCCCCAATCCAATCTAGCCAATGAATCCTCCTGACTGTTTAGTTAGGTTAGTTCCATCTCCTGAGCACTCTTCCAATCTGGCCCACTTCTCCCCATCTCTACTGCTACTAATCCAGTTCCATCTTCACTACCCGTCTTGATAAGGGAAACAACCTCTAAAAGTGGCCTCTTTGTCTATAGCCTTATACTCTTCCAGTCTATCCTCCACATCACAGAATGGTCTTTTTATATAAAATTAGATCATATCACGCATATTCCCCAAATCTTTCAATTGTTCATGGTCTTAGACAATGGCTCAAATGCATGATTTGGACCTATTTCCCTCTTCTGTTTCATCCCTTACAACTCGTTGCCTCTTGGTCTATGGTCTAACCACTCTGAATTATTCTATTTGTTCAAAAAACTTCATTTTGTCTTGCCTCCAGGGTGTGCATTAATTCCCCTAATTCCCTTCCCTCCCATAACTGACAGTCTTACTCTTAGTCATCATGCAGGTGTTGCATGGGTACTTCTCCCTCCACGTAATCTTCCCTGATTCCTCCCAGGGCTGAGTTGGATATACCTTGAGTCTATGTGGTCTCACCCTGTGCATCTTGCCATTTGCTTCATTATCATCATACTTTTGATCATGGTTTCTCTATTTCTCCATTAGACTACCAGCTTTGCAAAGGCAGAGGTCACCACTGTATCTATGGCATCTGACATATATCTAGAACATGGTGGACCTTAATAAATATTTGCTAAATAAGTAAATTTATTGTTCTTAGAGCTCAAATGTAACCTTCTCTAATATCAACCTTAGTCTGATTTAAAGTCTTGCTTGTTGGCAAAGATAATAGCATACACTCAAGTCGGTTCTGATAAACTAGTATGACAATTAAGTCCATTTCAAAAATGTTTCCCTCTAAAACATCAATTTTGAAAAGCCATATGACCATAATGATGGTATATAAAAATAACTGCTATTGAAATAAGTAGCATTTATTTTTCCCTTAATGCTGCCAATCTCTAAAAAAACCTAATATATGCTGTTCTAAAAGTAACTGCATGAATAAAACTGATCCTTCTTAAAGATTATCTAACATGTCTTTAGGACCAGCAGCTATATGAAGCATAAGCGATACTTCATATTATAATTCCAGTTTCTAAAAATTTCCTGGAGAAATCACTGGCATATTATAGGAAGAACTACTGGTATCTCTTAGTACTCTCTAATTTCCTTTTCATTTCTGTCCTTCATCTGAACTAAGGTAAAGGCAAAAGGAAAAGCTAACAGGGTGATAAAAAGATAATAGGATACCAGAATAAACAGGCCTAACATCTGATAAACCCTGTTCTAAGCTAGTTATCAAAGACCTTAGAACTTTAATATTCCATTATACTTAGATTTATGACAAATTTTCTTTAATGTATTAAAAAAGACATTATGTCACGAACTAAAGTTTAACTTTGATAAAACTATAAGCTTCGGGCTTCCCTGGTGGTGCAGTGGTTAAGAATCTGCCTGCCAATGCAGGGGACACAGGTTCGAGCCCTGGTCTGGGAAGATCCCATGTGCCGCAGAGCAGCTGGGCCCATGAGCCACAATTACTGAGCGTGCGCGTCTGGAACCTGTGTTCCGCAACAAGAGAGGCCGTGATAGTGAGAGGCCCGCACACCGCGATGAAGAGTGGCCTCCGCTTGCCACAACTAGAGAAAGCGGCCGCACAGAAACGAAGACCCAACACAGCCATAAATAAATAAATAAATAAATAAATACATACATACATACTTAAAAAGAAAAAAAAAAAACCTATAAGCTTCAAACAAAGAGCAATAAAATATCACATAAACTTCTTGGTTTTTTTTTTTTACCTGTTTTCCCGTTCATACATTTCCCTGGAGGCACTTCGAAGTTGATCAATTTCTTGATTAGTTTTCAATCTGATTTGTTCCAGTTCATCACGTAGTTTATTTTCATATTCTGTTTTATAATGGTCTCTGCAAAGAGTCAAAAGGAATATCCTTTTTTTTGTTGTTTGTAAAAGAAATAGGTCTTTGCCCTTCATGTAATATTTTAATATCTTATGTCAAATATGCTCTACATACAATGTTACTTGAAAAACACAGTTTAGATATAAAGCTTTAAAATTCTTAAAAATACCATTCCAAACTAGTTCCATCTGAGATTTTCTTTTAAACATACTACCCTAAAGGCTTAATTACTATATAAAATGTTCATTCATGTTGAATAATTATTCATCTTCAAAAATATTTTACTAATTTAACGCATATGGCAAAAGACTTGAAAACTAATGCATTATGGAAGGTCATTCATTTAGAAACAATGATCTGATGTGGTGCATATTGGAAGACAATTAATCTTAAAAAAAATGACCCGAATGTACTCTTTACAAAACCTTTCCTTCTAAGCACAACAATCATAGCCACTGTGATCTCTTAGCAAAGTCACAAAGCGTTACACAGGGTATTAGCAGAAGCACAAACTGATGAAAAATACCACAAGCTGGGAAAAAAGTTATTAAGAATAAATAATTCAAGGATTATAAAGGCTATTGGTATAAAGGAATAGCTTATTCATCTACTTGAAGAGAGAAGACAGGATTGAAATGCAGGAGTCTGATTCCAGAGCCTGTATCTTAAACCAGTACTCAATGCTGTCTCTCCTTATTCTTTTATGTTTCACACAGTCAAGAAAAGGTCAGCTTAGTCAGGCTCCACACAATTACATTTTCTTCAAAAATATACTTCTATAAAGATATTTATATATTTCCATAAAACATTTATGTAGAGATCTTAGTCACTGGGAATTAAAAAGGTTATATCGGGCTTCCCGGGTGGTGCAGAGGTTGAGAGTCCGCCTGCCAATGCAGGGGACACGGGTTCATGCCCCGGTCCGGGAAGATCCCACATGCCGCGGGGCGGCTGGGCCCGTGAGCCATGGCCGCTGAGCCTGAGCGTCCGAAGCCTGTGCTCCGCAACGGGAGAGGCCACAACAGTGAGAGGCCCGCGTACCGAAAAAAAAAAAAAAAAAAGGTTATATCATAAGAAAAAATAAATAAAAATAATCATAGTGTATATATCGCTACCTAAAAGAAATAGGCTCTTGGTTGTTGGAAAAAACAAAATATCTTAAGAAAAAAATCAATTAGAATGAGTAACTTATGAGGAAACAAAATGAACGATTATCGTAATATCATCCTATAGACCTTACAAAAAAATCACTATTCTTCCCCAAAGCCATGAGTTCCCTCAAAGAAACTGGTGTTAATTTATATCTATTGATATGGAAAATAATGTAAATCTTACCTTGATGTTACGTACTTTTCATACATCTCTTCTCTAGCCTTTTTGGTTTCTTCAAGTTGAGTTTGAAGTCTTTCAAGACGATCCTCTTCATGGGCACAGCGAACACTAAGCTCCATATTTTGGCGGTTGAGATATTCTTTATCTTTTTGCAGTAAAGTAACAGTATGCTGTAAGGTGGCTACCTACACACATGCAGAGACAGACAGTGTCCAGAGCAATGTCATCTTACTTTTCAAGGCTTACTGAGTTATTTTCTTTCATTTGTGCTTTTGTTCAACATATAAAGAGGGCTAATCCTTACCATGAAAATTTTCATATAAACAGAGCTACTAAAAAATCCCTTCTTTCTAGCAATTACATCAGAAAGGAAGAAAAATGTCCCTCTCACAATTCTGCCCTGAGCTGTGTCCACAATCACGGTACAATAAAATACAAGTGACTCTATAAGTTTACCTCTTTTGATAATTCACTTCCTTCTTTAGCTTGAATTATGTGAGAGGCTTCAAGTGTTTCATGTTTTCTCCTTAAGTCAGTTACTTCCTGTTCAAGTGCATCACGCTCACTATAAAATTCAAATACATTTATTTATTTTTACTAAAATAAAACTGAAACACATATGTAAATTCTATGTCTCTTTTTATAACGAACATTTTAAAAGCGTCAATTATGTTTCAGGAAACTGAACAGAGATACTTCAGTGTCATTCCACGAACGATAAAGTATCTGCTTTTCAAATTTAGAAGGGACTCTGTTCAAGACCTTGTTCAGATACACAAACATGAATTTATTATCTTCAAAAAATAAATATGTAAGCTACACTAATCAGCAAAGTAAATAATAAAACTTTCTAAGGTACACTCTGGTATCTTTTCATTAATCATCTTCAGTCTAATCTTGAAGCCAAAACTTTTAAAGAATTTAAAACATGGCTCTAGGCTTTCAGTTGTTAGGCTAAAAAGGCCTTAAATCATCACTCAGATTGCATAGATGATACACAGGCAGGCATTCTTGTGGTTATTTCATTCACAAATTGTTTATGATTACCCAGAGATTCTTATTTCCATTTTCAGACCAGCTCTTTCCCCAACACAGCAAAACCAAGAACTGGACCAACCCTACAAACAGGTATCTTAAAAAATGAGCAGAGAAATAGATTTGCTAATTCTTAACTTGTTCTCTGCAGTGAGAATCAGTTCCTTTGCACTTGATTTCATTTACTCCCCTGGTGCTTCCATGGAGAGAGCTATTAAGAACTGTTTTTCTTTTCATTAGATTTTCAATAACTCATTTAGAAAGATGACTTCTAAGATTTCTTCTGCTTAACAAAGTATTATAATTATACTTGAGCAAAGCACAAATTGAAAAATAACAATCACCCATAAACCCACTTATTAAAGATGACTATCAATATTAATATTTTGGTAATATTACTTTAAGTATTTTATGCCTTTACATACAAATGTTTTTATTCTCACAAAGTAAGGACTTTTGTTATGTTTTTTTTTTTTTTTTTTTTTTGCGGTATGCGGGCCTCTCACTGTTGTGGCCTCTCCCGTTGCGGAGCACAGGCTCTGGACACGCAGGCTCAGCAGCCATGGCTCATGGGCCCAGCCGCTCCGCGGCATGTGGGATCTTCCTGGACCGGGGCATGAACCCGTGTCCCCTGCATCGGCAGGCGGACTCTTAACCACTGCGCCACCAGGGAAGCCCCTTGTTATGATTTTTTAATGTAAAAAATAGATTATAAAGCATGATACAGCAAAATACTCATGAACTTGCTATCCACAGCTGACGACAGTTACATTTGTCTATATTTGCATTAAAGTTTTGTTCTGATTTTTAAAAAGATAGAACACTATGAGTAAAGCTGAAGTTCCCTATATTTTCTCACTGTCCCAATATCATCCCCTAAAAACAATGATAAATTTCCATATTATATGTTTTTTTACATACTTTTACTCACCAATGGTTAATATTTTGTCATATTTACTTTGTAATATTTACTAAATATTACTTTGTCATATTTATTCTCTCCCTCTCTGTTGTTCATCTATGTGAATAAATATACATATGTGAATTTACATATATAAAAATACATACGCATATACAGGTATACACGTCTACACACACGCACACAATTCTACATGTACATTTTTTCCCCCTCAACTATTTGTAATACGCAGACATTAGGTCCTTTTATCCCTAAATAATTTGGTGTGAATCCAAAGGTTAAAGATATTCTCTTATGTAATCAGAATATAATCATCGGGACTTCCCTGGTGGTCCAGTGGTTAAAATTCTCCCTTCCTTTGTCTTTCACGACATTGACCTTTTGTAGCGCACAGGCCAACTTTATAGAATGTTGCTCAACTGTCATTTGTCTGATGTTTTTCTATGACTAGATTTAGATTAAGCATTTTGGGCAGGAATATTACAGAAGTGATATTGTGTCCTCAATACATCAAATAAAGATATATTGAGATGATGTCACTTAATCTCATTATTGGTGACAATAACTTTGATCATTTGCTTAAGGTGGTATCTGCCGAAGTTCTCAACTATAAAGGTATCTTTTTGCCCTTTGCAATTAATAGGTAATCTGTGGGAATTTTTTTCTTTTACAACGCTTCACAGTTTACTGAGTCCTATAAAATAACTGGATAATTGATTCTACACACTTTCAGTGACATCTGAAAGGAAGAGATATTCACCCAAATTTGCTATAGGATATATTTTAACATTCTGCTCTCTAATATACTTTTACCCAGTGGCTTTAGCTTCCAATGATGACTCTAAATCAAACAGTATTATGAGGTTACAAAATAGTAATTCCAATAAGCATATGTATTTATTGGTTGGCATTCTACTGTGAAGATCCTCTTTATTTACTAGCACACACTCAAGGACTCTTATTCTGTTCAATGGATTGTAACTCATTATCGTTAATATTCATCTTGATATTCAAGTTGTACCTATTTGGCCAGTTGGATCCCCTTCAAACTAGCTATCGTGGTGTTGAATTGGAATTAGAAATATCAGTATGATCTTATCCATAGTATGTTAAGCCATCCTTTCACTTGCCTCTTCATTGCGCCTCTGCCTACTGAAAGGGCCTAGAAATAACGTTCAATGTAGCAATGACCAGGACCCAAATCTTAATTTCTGAATAGCATTCTCCACTAAAAGGAACCAAGACTCCTTAAAGAAAGGGCTGAGGCAACGAAGTCACAAAATAAACCTGAGAACTTTCTGTTATGCCAGAAAGTTTAGGAACTGCTTGCTTTGGGGGTGGGAGGGTGGGGAAGAAAGAAAGAAAGAAAGATGGGCACATGCATTTTGCTTTTTAAAATTTAATATTATGTGTTTGACTTATCCATATATACATTCAGATCTAATTTAATGATTTTAATTGTTACGTAGAATTACGTTATAAAAATAAATCACAATCTATTTTCCATGCTGCTGTTGAAAAGCATTTGAATTCTTTCTAATAATGATGCAGCTAACATCCATATATCTGTTTTCTTTTGCACCTTTGTGAGAATTTATCAAGGACATAAAAGTGATTTTTTTCCCCCAGTTTATCTTATATGTTTGTGACCAGACCATTTTTTAAAAATCCATTCTTTCTATTGAGTGAACCAAAGGATTCACAGTTTGAGCCACTCTTGCTTGGTTGTTTTTCTGTTCCATTTCTAGCACATGATGATGCTTATTATGTTTTTATTTCTTAGGTTTTCATTATAGAAAATAAAACACACATAAAGAGAGATGCTAAAGTGAGACACCTCCCCACCCCCACTTTCATCACTCACCTGCAAGAATTATCAACCCAGGACTCATCTTGGTTTGTTTACCCTTCATTCATGGCCACCCTGGATTATTCTGATGACTATGCCTTTTAGTTTTCTCCTTTCATATTTCACTTATTATTGCTATAGATTTATAGCGGCAGACAGGACATCAAAACACCAACTCAAAGTATCATCTTACCATCACAACCTACTTCATTTTGAAATGATTCTTTTGAAATCTAGCTTTCTTTGAAAGCCCAATAGTATAGCTGTCATGGATTTCAAGCTCCAACAATCACTATATTTTGACATAACAGTGCATACATAATAATACATAATGCATGTCAGTCATGCTGGGAGTAGGAGCACCAATGTTATATCCCCCAGATCCTGGCAAATTTACTTATGGTGTTTTACAATTTATAAAGCATCCATTCAATTAACAAACACTCATTGAGTGACTGCTTTAGTTCAAGAATTATTTTAGGTGCAGGTAGATGTAGCAGTGAACAATTAGGATCATCTCTCTATATATACGCATACATATATATACTTTCATAAATATTACTTTATTTGATCTTCTTAATTTATATAGTGCAGTTATTGTATTAGCACCATCTGAGAGGTGACAAAACTTTGGCTTAGAATGTTAAGATTTCCTAGGAACATACAGCTAAAGTGGTGGTTCATTAGTACATTCCAGCAAAAAGAAAATTCTTTGCCTTAGCAGCAGCACAATATGAAACATATCCTCAGAAAGTATTATTTTTTGAAAGTATGTGTGCCTTTTGTCAAAAAGGAATAGCTGAAAAAACTTTAGATAAAACTGCAAACTATTTAAATTGATGCCATAAAATAAAAATAATCAAGTAAGATTTCAAAAATATTTACACACATAGGATTTCACTGGGTTCCTATCTTCTAAGGCATCACATTTTAAAAGACAAAAGCAGCTTCTAAATAAAATAAAAACAACTGACATAAAAATACAATCTAAATCCAACAAACTGCCAAAACTGCATGTTTCTGCGCAATGAAGACTAAGGTATATGTCAAGAGAATAAGAAGACATAAGGTATATGTCAAGAGAATAAGAAGACAAGCCACAGGCTGGAAGAAAATATTTGCCAAAGACATATCTGATAAAGGACTATTATCCAAAATGTATAAAAAACTATTAAAACTCAACGGTAAGAAAACAAACAACCCAATTAAAAAATGAGCCAAAGACTTTAACAGACACCTCACCAAAGAAGATATACAGATGGCAAATAAGTACATGAAAAGATGTTCTGTATCATGTCATCAGGGAAATGCAAATTAAAACAATGAGATATGACTACACACCTATTAGAATGGCCAAAATCCAGAACACTGATAACAAATACTGGCAAGGGAGTGGAGCAATGGGAACTCTCATTCATTGCTGGTGGAAATGCAAAATGGTACAGACACTTTGGAACAGACAGTTTGGTGGTATCTCACAAAACTCAACATATTCTTACAATACAAGTATGCTCATGCTCCTTGGTATTTACCCAGAGGAGTTGAAAATTTATGTCCATACAAAAAACTGGCACATGAATATTTATAGCAGCCTTATTCCTAACTGGCAAAACTTGGAAGCAACCAAGATGTCCTTCAATAGGTGAATGGATAAATTATGGTACATCTTGACAATAGAATATTATTCATTATTCAATAGCACATTATTATCCAATGAATATTATTCAAAAGAATACTATTCATTATTCAAATGAGCTATCAAGCCATGAAAAGACATGGAGGAACCTTAAGTGTATATTTCTAAGTCAAAGAAGCCAATCTGCAAAGGTTCCATATGGTATGATTCCAACTACATGACATTCTAGAAAAGGCAAAACCATGGAGACAGAAAAAAAATAAGATACAAAGTAGAATTAACGACATTGATGGTAAGAATTCAAGTGACTCTGATGCATGCTAAAAATGAGAACAACTGTAGCCATCTTAACTACTTACCTCTTGACTTTACCATAGTTCTCTTGACGGTAGTCTCCTTGCTGAATTAACTGTTTTGTGTCTGCTAATTCTAAGGCCAAACGTTGACATCTAATTTGAAGCTCAGAGTAGTTTCTGCGATCTTCCTCATAAGTCTATAAATAAAAACAATAATAAGGCATTTCAAACCAAACGTACTTGACCAAATTCTGTACTGAATTCTTCTGTTAAGCTGTGCATATCTTTGTAATTTTAAAAAATCCTCAATTTTTTTATTTAGTAATGTTTCCCTACTCAAAGACAGGTAATCTTAAACTCACTGAGAAGTCTGTAAATTCATTTGTTTAAAACTTGAGCTCTGTTTTTTCAAGAAAAAATAGGTCAACTATGCTTTGGTTAATAGAATAATACATAAAATGACTACTAATGTTAAGGATGTTTTCAACATTTACTGAGTTACTATCAGATGCTAAGGACACAGAAGTGAATAAAACACTGACCCTGCTCTTGAGGAGTTTACAACGAGAGACAAAGAGCCACATGAACATCAAACATTCACAATGAAAAATAGTTACTGAAGAGATTAACCACGCATTTTCAGTTGTGGTATTCAGAAAAAAAGGAGTTTTGTGGCACTTGGAACCTATTTCTACATTGATCTTCCTTGTACTCATCAGACTGGTAGAAAGGGACTGCAGAGATGTGGAAGAGGGGTAGAAGTGAAAACCTTAAAAGCACACCTGGCCCTGCTTACTACAAGCCTCGTTTCTCGCCATTTCTCATAATCATACTTCACCTCCAACCCTAATAAAGATCTGAGGTTCTCTGAACACACTACACTTCCTCTAACCCAGCGGTCCCCAACCTTTTTGGCAGCAGGGACCAGTTTCGTGGAAGACAATTCTTCCATGGATTGGGGCTGCGGGGGTGGGGGATGGGGGGGCAGTTGGTTCAGGCAGTAAAGCGAGTGATGGGGAGCGATGACGAGTGGCAGATGAAACTTCGCCTGCTCACCTGCTCACGTGCTGCTCACCTCCAGCTGTGCGGCCCAGTTCCTAACAAGCCGTGGCCCGGTAGCGGTCCGTGGCCTGGTAGCGGTCCGTGGCCCGTAGGTTGGGGACCCCTGCTCTAATCTGTTTGCACTGCCTGAATAGCTGAATACTGTCAATACTCCTTTAGAGTATTGATCTTAGTGTATCACCAAATTCGTTTTTTTACATCAGAGTGTAAACATCTCAAGGGCATGGACTTTGTCTTGCTCACCATTGGATCTCCATCACTTTACACAGGACTTGGTATAGAGTAAGAATGAAATACTTTTCAATAAATCAATGAAGAAATGCAGGAATATGGGAATGGGGAGGAGAAGCAGGACACAGAGACGGAGTTCCCACTTCTTTTCCCACTTTGAGCTCATCAGATCTTGCAAGCAGTCATCAACTCCACCCCCAGAACCTGTCACGGGAAATACATCCTGTCCCAAGTCATTCTTTTTTAAGGAGCTGATGAGCTCAGTGTGGTCAGATTCAGTCCACAAATACTGACCGAACTATTTCTAAGTGACAGGTCCTGGGCTAGACACTGTAGATACAAAGATAAGTAAGACTGTTTTTGTCCCCTTTAAACTATTAGACATGACTTTGAAATGTTAGCTCCCACATTTCTATCAAAAGGCTGTTTGAAAAATGTAATAATGGAAAAACTATACTGGCTGTGCTTTGCTTTGGTACATACTATGTTCTTCTGCACTGATGTTCTCCATGAGAATGAAATGCTACTATGTGGTATTTATTAGAGGATCATAGCTGAGGATACTCTATCATCTCCCCAAAGAATCATCACACACGTCATTTCTGACTTAAGTCCCAGAAGATGCTTTAGTTCCCCTGAAGAATGCTTTTATCCTTCTAAACACTACTAATCATGTAACTGTTTTGGGAGAGTGTATAGTGTTATAGTTAGGATGGAAAGCTCCAGAATTCAACTGTCCGGAACTGAATTACCTGCAGTAACACTTCGAGCAGGTTTACATCTCAGCACTTGATTGTCCTCATCTACGTCATCTACCCTGTAGAGTTGTTGTGAAGATTATATCAAGTAATACATGAAAAGTGCTTATAAAAATGCTTAGCACATAGTAAATGATCATGAACTATAAATTAATATCATCACAATGCTTTTCCTTTGCTTTGGCTCCTAGGGAGATTATAGCCAAATTGATAGCTCGACCTTAATAATTGCACAAAGACTGGGACAGACTCCTGAGGAATATAAACATTTAAAGGGTGAGGAAAGGACAAAGAGCCCTAGGAACCCGAGGGAGTATTCACAGAAACAGAGGGTGAACCAGGGGTGTGTGGCAGGGACAACCGTAGAAGAGCTACTCTGAGGAGACAAGACTGTCAGGGGTACTAATTACTACTGAGAAGAGACCCATAAACAAATCCATTAAATCTTCAGGGATGGGGACAGAAAGTAGACTGCCAGGGGCTAAAGCAAATATATCTGAATATACAATATGTCCTTTTTCGTGTTATGATACATGCATTCTCTTGCTTAATACTTAACTTTATGATGGAGCAAAGTATTATCCTCATTTTTACAGTTGAGGAAACTAGGCTTGGAGAGGATAAAAGTCTCAGAGCTCATGAACAGTGTGGTAAGGACTCCAATCTAAATTTGTCAAACACCCGAACTGTAGGCAATTCTCTCCTTAGTTTAAGAGTGCAGAAAGTGAAGTAGCTAGAGAAGAAAATAGAGATAAATGAAGGTTTCAAAAGATGGAACAAGCTTGGACATGTTAAAATATCGATGGGAAAGAACAGCAAAAGAGGTACTGATGCTGGAGAAAATGGGCATGGTCGGGGGGCAGAGCAGTAAAGCCCCTAAGAAGGCTCAGGGTGTGGGCTCCATCTTCACTGTGAAGACTTGTCTTAGACCAGCAGCCATGCTCATATCATGGCAGGCTTTTCTCCAGCTGATACAGTGTTAAAAACTTGAATTTGGATGTCCTCAGGTAGCTCTTATCAATGCCCTACAAGTCACAGAATACTCCTTACCCTACTGCTTCACCTATTTTCTACTATCACTTGGTTTCTAAAGGCATATGACTTTCCACTCCTTGAAAGGCTCTTCCCACTATAAACAGTAAGAACAAACAAACAAAACCGAACGAGTGCAGATGTAAATATGCTTATGGCAAGAAACTGTGGGAGTTCTCATCTGAGGATTTCCATTTTCTCTGTGCAATGAAATACCAAGTCATTTGCTGAGAGGGAGAAGGAAAGTGGAAAGCTGGAGATGTGAGGAGAGTGGTGAATGCCTAAAATAACTGCTGTGAAAAATGAGAGAACTAGAAAAAATAGAATTACAGCACAATTGTGTGGGCCCGTTCGAAGTCGGTAACAATAAACTTACAGCCTTGTTACTGCCTCTGTGATTTTCTCCAGTAGCCCTCATGTAGAAAAATAAAGAGTTGAGATTCTGTCAGGCAGGTTCGATAAAAAGACAGGGAGGAATTCGACAACACTGACAAGAGAAAGGTTTAAGACTGATAACATGATGAAGAGGGAAGAAAAGACATTTAGGAAGATATAGATAAAAAAAAAATTATATGGATTGGCAATTCTGCTAAAGATAGGTTGAAAGCAGTTGATTGAAAAACGTGGAAATATAGGAAGTAGTATGTTCAGTGGTCAGCCTGAATTGATAACTTCAGAAGTAAATCAGTTCTGGGAGACAAGGAACAGAACGCGGGCCATGAACCTGAGTGCTAAAGAAAAGAAGAGGTAATCATTCAGAATGAGAAGATCAATGACGTGCAAGGCCAAGGTCGTGGATGAATCTCAAGAAGTAACCCAGGCAGCAGCTAAGGTAGAAAGGAAGACTAAATCTAGACCGCGGGTTCCACTGAGTAAAAAACAATGTCCCAGTGGTCTGCAAATGAAGAAGGTTATAGAGTAGGGCATCTAGATGAAATGAATGCCCCCTCAAAGGTAGGGGTTTATGTGAGTGTGGAAGTGCCAAAATCTAAGATCTAGAGAGGACATCAATACCTTGCCCTGAAATATACAGGGTATAAACTTCTGGAGCAGAGAGCAATTCCATAGGAGATATGCGTATGTGTGTATTTATTATATTGTACATGCATATGTCTGTAACATAGTATATATGTGTGGGTGTGAATATATATATATATATATATATATTCATTCTTTAAATATAAACATTATATGACCAAGTATAAGCAGAAGTTCAATACAGGAATGTACATATCCTACCAAATCTTCTAAGACTTTTCAACTGAAAAACTTCCCCTTAAATAAAATGATTACCCTTATATTTCGAAAAAAATAATCTGCTTCACTTACTATTAGCAAATAAAATACATTAAGGCATAGCTTTGGAAAAAAAATAAAAAATAAAAAATGAATCAAACCCATGACTGTGTAGAACTTTAAGGCTAAGGCTAAAGATGGTAGAGAAGACTACTTCGTATTACTCCTATGTATTCTTCCTGACCCGAACTCAGCAATACCTTCTGTGGGAAGACTCCAAGCCCCAAATCTGAGTTAGATGTCTGTCTTACATTTTTCCACAGCACCTGGTTCTTACCTCATCAGAAAACACATCACATGTGCTGTGAGCAGCCATTACTTGCCTCTCACATCAAAGGAAAAACTAAAGGAAATTTTCTATAATTCTAGTACCTAGTACTCTGCCTATTACATAGAAAGTATATAATTAATGTTTCTGGAAAAGAAGGAGCAAAAGAGGATATTAAATAGACTGAAACCAAAGAAGGAAAAAGCTTAATCTTTTCAAACATAAAGAAAGAGAACACAAAATTTCCAATCACCAGCCATTTCTAACAGAAAATTTCTACATAAGAAGTAAATAGGTTTGGTTAACAGCAAGTCTCAATGTCCTTTTTGAATAAAGAAAAAAAACTGCATAGGGATAATGACAATTAAGTCACTGAGATTTCAACTGTTTGCCAGTTTTCTACACATCTAGAATGGAACTGACTTTGATTGCCAGAGTTAATGTCATCTTTTCCATCTCCTAAATTATTCATAAGAGGAAATAATAGAAGGCTATCTCTAGCCTGAAAAAAGTAAATCTGTTATTGTAGTTGCAAGTTTTCTTGTCTTGT